ATTCATTAAACATTTACGTTACACTTGGCCAGCAAAAACTCAGATTTATCTGTGACACATCCCCCCATGTCTCTGAAGTATTAAAGCTGACAAGTTTTGGAGTACTAGCATTTCCAATGGCATGTCAGAGTGCAAATGGTAGAAAGCATATTAATTAATTGTCCCTGGCCAGTTTGAGTATCATATTCTATTTTTAGCAGATTTTAAAGCACATTTTTTCATTTAGGCAATGCACCAAATTAAACACTGACAAATGCACTTTAGTGGTTTGCAGTGCTTTAGCAAACAGATTTTGAAAGCATTGTAATCATATATTTACAGCAAGGTTCTAATCCACTGACAACAGTTATAGTGCAAAAAGAGATAAAGCATATGACCGAAGACTGAAATCGTCGCACCTTGCACTCACCAGGTTAATTTTATATATATTGAAGGAATCCATTTCCTTTATTTTATTTTTGAGGTTTATTTTTATTTTTAGGTTCATTTGGTATTTTTTTCTGGTTTCATTTAGATCTGTCTCTAAATGCAATTTTCAATCTTTTGATTATAATATTCAACATTAAAGGGCACCAAATATCCAATAGGCAATAATATGAAGGATAAAGATGGTATCCTCTTTTACCTCACTCTATGGAATGACTTTCACGCTTGGCTGCTGTCCAATTTTATCTCCAGGAGTTGCTAGGCGACAGGATCGTCCTCATTGCAAGGGTATTCTGGAAAACGATGGAACCAATAAATGAATTATCTGTAACTTATTATCTGACTTCAACATTGCTATCACATGGGTCAGCGACATCAAAACATGCTATGTAAATGGACAATTTTAGTATAGCAACATTAGTGCACAGTAAGTCTGTTTAATCAGAAAGTAGTCTGTGCAGCCACCTTGATGTTGTGTTGTCTGAATTAACACATTGTTTAAGTCACATTAAGACCAACTGAAGAGTATTAGCTTAGTTTATATCAGCTGCTAAAATGTTATAACTTGGTGACAAGTACTCCGAGATACCACCAGAGTCATATCTGCTTCCTTGTTTCTTTATTCAGTCAAGTCCTTCCCTAAAAGATCTTTAATGTCTTTAATCTCATCAGAAACCTAATTTGTCTTTCATTGGTTTGCTTACTAACATTTTATCAATTGTGTATTTAGTGCTGACTGCAAATGCAATTTGGTCAAATTTTACTTCATTTATCAGATTATTTAATTTTATAGAGAAAGTAGTTATTGATGAGAAGAGGAGGATTTCTGCAGTCCAGTGTTAAACAGGCAGCCTAACTAAACTCAAACACAAATGTGCCATGTATGTGACTTGAACAACTACAGACCACTTCAAAGACATTTAATTGGCACTACAAACTTCCCACTGAAACCTGCTGACCTGAATTCAATGATTCAGAAGTGGTATAATGACAGCACTGAGGCAGCACTACACCAGAGAACAAATAACAAAACACTATTAAGCCACTGCAATCTAGATAAATCCCACCAAAAGAAAATAATAAAAAAAAATGAATGCTCTGGTAGGAGAAAAACATGACTATTGTTTGAATCTTTTGAAAAGGTTTTTCTCAGATACTTAATTGATAAGGTATGACAGCATGTTTGCTCCTTCTGACACATTAAGTAGCTTTGATTATCTCCTCTGATAGAGGGCTTAGTGGGATGCATTTAATATTGGAACAGTTTAAAAGATACTCCTACACTGCTGCAGTCTATAACTGCAATGTGAGGAATGAATGGTAGCAGATATTATTTGAAGTCTGGATGTCATTTATTAGTCAGTCAGCCCAAAAGCAAATATCTAAATACCACCACTTTATCATAAGCAGACAGGAAAATACTTGTTTCAAAAGCCAACCATTTTTTAAAATACAGCAGACTCTTAAAAAATGCACATTGCCTGAATAAATAATAGTATTATTTATTGTTCTTTTGTTCTGCAGATCCATGCACCAGAGACTTAGAGGATTATTTCAACTGACAGTACATCTGCACCCGTGAAACAGCCACTGAGCTGTAAGCTGATCATGCTGAGAAAGAAACTTAATAACCTGTCCACCTCACTTAAACAGCAATGAGTTTTGATTTTAGATAAATCCTTTGTGAAATTTTAATTACAGCATCAAAGCTGTAATCGGCCCTTCAGTGGGACAGAGCTGGAATGAAGTCCAGTGAATAGCCACTGTCAAGATGTTGACAGTGAGTTCACCAACACCATGCATGCCATTATGATTTTTCCACATCAGCAGCTTTAAAGAACACCGAATATAGAAAAAGTGTCACAAAAAAAGGTATGAATATTTTTGTAATACCCTTTATCACCACATGAGGTGGCACTGTGTTAAAAAAAAATACACAATTTACAATTTATTTTAAGGATCTTGTTTCCAGTTTTAAAATCAAAGCCGCATCAAATCACTAATAAACCATTAAATATAAAGGCTAAAGGTGTTTTCTTTACCTCAATGTATGGAATGACTTTCATGCTCAACTGCTGTTCAATTTTATCTCCATGAGTTGCTAGGCAACAGGAGCATCCTTGTTGCCTTGTACCCATAAACGGATTCTCTAGATCTGTAACTTATTATTCCACATTGTTGTGATATGGGTCAACGAAAGAGAAGACTGCTATGCAAATGGGCCATCAGGCCATTTAGCCGTGACATCTGAGTGTTTGCTTTGTCCTGCCTGGAGAAGCACATATGCTGCCTTGCCCCTGAAAAATTAGTGAGTGGGTATGCGAGCAAAGGTCTTACATTATAATGCCATTTTTTCAGTTGGTCTTATTAGAAAATAATACATCAAATAAAATTTTAAGAGAAATCTTAAGATTCTAATTTCTAAAAAATAAAAAATACACTAATTTACAATGGCAAAATGAATTCATTTTATAATTTATTATTTACTTATTTACTCTTCATTTAATTTATTATATAGTTTCTGAGTAATTGAAATTATGTTAAAATGGATCACTGTTTTGCCCTGCAATACACTAGCAATCTGTCCAGAGTGTAAATTGTCTTTTGCCCAGTAAAAGCTGGATATGGTTCATGACATGTCACATGTCATCATGACATGTCCGGGACTTACAATCGCCTAGAGTGCATGAGAAAATCTAATATTTGACACTTCAAGTCAAAACAAAATCACATCTATCTAGATCAGGCTCCAAGCAGGGTCAGTTGTGCCATACATAAATAATTTTCATTAAAAACTGAAAATTGTCATTTTCATAATATACAAAATCTATATATCAGTGCTCATCATTAAAATGTTATCTGCATCATTAACATGAAGGCAGCTGCAGGTAAGAAATAAAAATGGCACAAACCTAAACACTGATAATACTAGATAAAGTCACTTCTGTCTTAGGTGCAACTACTGGATTGCCTACAGACATTTTTTTGTGCACTGAATGCTGAAGGTTGTATCTCATTCCATCTAAGAGGACTTAGATGGTACATCAGACTAAGAAGTGTTGGGAACCACTAATCTCCTGTAACTACATCTCTTTTAACAGGAGACCTTCTATGTAGCGACCATGATGAGAAGCAATGTGAGTTAATGACTCTTCTAAATCACATTAACAGCAAAGACAAACTACTGCTGCAGAGCATTAGCTAAATCTTCATCACATGCCAGAGGGGATCCAGTCGCCTCATTCTCAGTGAATGGTACTCTAAGTCAGCACCTGCAAAATATCTTTGCCTTTTATATAAAACATTTCTCTCACTCATCTTTCATATTTAAACAAAGAATATGTAGTCACTGGCCAGATGTTGCTGTTTCACATCTGATCGCTATATTCCATAACCCATCCCACCAAAAAAAAACATCCAACTAAGGTGAATTATATGATCATGAAAGATACATATCTCATAAATGGTGGAACTAACTAGATTATATGGGCCCTCTCTGCAGAGCAGCTAATGGAAGCTGCAGTGTAGTGGAAATAAGACCTGTTAGCTTACTGTGTTTGCCTGAAATGCTAGCCCGCCAGGCTTTTTCACCACTGTTCTCACTGAGATAAATCCCTGTTGCACTTAGTAGTCATCCATTTTTAATGCCACAGCCTCAGCTGGAGATACATAAAGACAGAGGAGGAGAAGACAGAGGAGGAGAAGACAGAGGAGGGAAAGCAGGGACGGGGGGGGGAGGGAGGAACTGCCAAGAAGTGGCTGACACCAGACGAATGCTTCAGGCTAATATATGTTTGTATGCTTAGCATCAGCAGCAATTAAGAGTGTCTAAGGTTGTTTGGCTGGTGAGACAGACAAAAGACAGTAGGGTGATTCATGAAGTCATCATGATTTTAGTACATTTCCATAATTTATAGAACATCTGTAACAAACCAAGCTGCTGGAGTAAATCAAAAGCACTCACAGCTGCACAACTGTGTACAGCCATGATTTTTTTTTTTTCCAACAAACAAGAAGCAAGGCAGCAAGGCTTCCTGCCTGTTTTTGAGCCACATAATATGTCTGCAGCAGCCATTCCACAGATGGCAAGCAGAGAAGGCTGGGAGGGCCAGCTATTCAATCCACTTCAGCACAAACATGATCTGTTTGAATGGTGAGGCATAAGCCAAGACATTCTTGTGTGGGAAGACCTCCCTAAACAACTGTGAGCAACCCATGGCAGTGTGTTTGCCTTTCAGAAACAAATCTTTAAGATATGAGAGCAACAGATCGGTCTGAATTCATCCAAAAAGCAAAGGTTAAGTGTGGTAAAATGCAAAGTAGTAAATGTAACATAAGCAGGGCGTATGTGATCCACACACAGGCTCTGTGTTAACTCATGAGTGAGACAGTCAGCTAGCTGGCCAATTAGGCCAAGCAAAGCCATTTCTTTGTTTCTAGTCGACCCCCTCCACCCCCCACCCCCCGCTTGATTTAATGTAGTTTAGGAATCACTAAATCAGTAATCTGAGACTTAAACAAAAACCTTTGTGTTTAGAAAAGGGTAAACCAATTAGAGAACACAACCACATAGGTCCAAATATTTCATACGTTTTTATTTCTCTAGTGTATTTATATGTTGTTATTCTGCACAGCAGCATACAGGAAATTGTGGTAAAATATAAATAACAAAGTTCAACAGTGTTTCTTTTTCTCTTATTCATTTAATCCAAAAAACCTCTGTTAAAAGTGGCAAATTTTGTCAGCTTTTTTTCAATATCCGCTCTCTTGCACACTCTCAAGAATGCAACATTGAACAACTAAACTTTAAAAAGTATGGGTATATCACTATTTACAGACAGTCTCACCTTTTGGTGAGCAATGCTATAGCTTCTTGGAAACTTACTTCCATTATGTTAAATGCAACAAAATGAAAATACAATTATGTTATACAAAGATCAAAAATACCTATCAAAACCCTTATTATAAATGGCAGCACTATATCAATAAACTGCTGTTGACATTTTTACGTGTAAGTACAAAATCCTGTTGAGGTAGCGCCCTCTGAAGTCACTTGTAATGTTAAAATACTGAATAAACATCACTTTATAGACAATACAGCAAATCTTTCTCTTTTTTTTTTCTTCAATTCAATTGTATTCCTTTGGTAAACAAAACTGTCAGAAATGTGCAGTCCTGCAAGTGACACTTTCAATCGTACATTCACAACATTTTTGCATCTTTTTTGGGATTCTTCAGAAATGTAATAATGGGATAACATGTTGTTTGCGAACATTCATTTGCCATTTTCTTCACCCCGACACAGAATGAAAGGTAAATGGGACTTACTCGGTTTCATAATGCAAAGCAGACATGCTTATGAGACTCTGTGGTGAATACATTGTGAGGGCAAACCAAACCAAAAACACCATAAAGAACGAGAGAACTGACAGAGAAAAGAAATCCAGTGTGTTACCCTTATTTGGGAATGTAAACATAAAACATATTGAATAATATTTCTCATTAAATGTAAAATCGGGTAACTGTCTCATCACACATGATTAGAACAGAGGTTTGGCTTTACAACAACTGATTAGAACGTTCCCCAGAGAATATGAGCCCTAAACAGAGGCCACATTGTCTTTTTTTTTTTTTCTTTTTCTTCCTGCCTTGCAGATTGAATGTCAACTTTTACAGCAAGTTGGAAAATATGTTGTGGAGTTTTTAGGCAGGCAGATGGGATCAAAGAGTTCCTCCTCCAGTCAGACTCACACAAGTATTCACTAATGACACATTCTTGAGCTTCTTTAATGGCAAACATAACTTTGGTTTCTAAGACGTGAAAGAAAATCGAGGCAAGCTTAGCTCACCATACAAAAATACTTGGTAGAAAAAGGCTATGACATTCATCCCCTTTGCCAATGTCAGTGTGTTCCCTACATGACCAAAATACTTTTTATTTATTTTTTTGTATTTATTCACACTTTGTGATTATTGATACATATGTGTATGTATACCCACACTCAAAATAACTACAGACTATAAAGAAAAATAAATCCGATGTATAAAGCATAAAATTATTCTATGTGGATAAAGGAACTATAAAAATATAAGAGATCTTAAGAGAAACAAAAAAGATAAAATCAATATGTTTATGAAACTGGGATAAAGGCTAGAGCCGAAATCAAAACAGTCATCTGGAAATTGTTCAGTGCAATTTATTTTACTTTATAGTCTTGTTTGTTTAAAATATTTTCATCCTCTTACCACCCACAGCCCTCCCACCCTTTAATGGTCGCTGGGATGGCTGGTCTTTTGACAGTGGACAATATTTTATCGTATGAGCATTGTCCCCGTTGGCACTGCAAAGGGGGCAGGTATAAGCCCTCAGAATCGGGCACACAACCCTGCCGTCCGGAGTCTTCAGGACGTGGGAGCCGTACACCTCCTCGGGCGCTCCGTTATTTCGGCAGAAGACGCAGATTTTCGGCTCCTGTTTGGTTCTGGAAGCGGGTTTGCGCATCTTCTTCTCCATGCCGAACATATCGAACCCAGTGAAGTTCCCACCAAAACCCACCTCCCGCTCCGGCAGCTGGACGCCGAGCTGATTTTGGAAGGGGCTCAGTATCGAGAAACGCTCTTTCAAGTCCAGGATGGAAGCTGGTGGGGGGCTCCCGGACGGGCAGCAACAATCCAGGTGCCCGCTTTCTCCAACGGCACCCGCGAGTATGCACGGACACGCCGGGGAATCGTCCAAGCCCAGAGTCGCTTTCAGGGACTCGGTGATGGAGTTGGGATTTTGGGGCATGCTGAGCTTGTTATTCTTCGTAACCAAAGTCGTCAGCCCAAGATAGTCGTTCCAGAAATTAAAAGTATAGTCATATGGGCTGCGCGCATTCAGATAGTTCTGATTGAGAAAATCCATGGCCACTTCTGCTCCTTCGCTTGCCGTAAAAAGGCGAAACAGACAGCGTAATCCGTAAAGTCTTTATAGCCAGAGTTCTCTTCCAGGTATGGTTCATGTACAGCGATGTGGTCTCCAGTGTTCCTGTTATGTTTGAGCGTCCTGCAAACAGGCTTTCTTGTTATAAGTACTAAGAGGGCGGGGCGCTCTCCCTTGAAAACCAAGTTCCTGATCAGGTCGAAAGCAAGCTCGCTGTCTTCAAAGCTACAGTTAGACAGATTTGTTTTCATGCAGGCTGGCGCTTTCTCTTCTATCAATCATTATTCTGCAATTAAGGCATTCGGCAACTTTCATTAAAAATAGCTTGTTAATACTTAATGATTTGAACAAGTGCGCAAAGAAAATATTTCGTGCACAAAGCCTTACTGTAGGTAATTACATCATTTCAGCGCCAGTACTAATCAATTACGACTCGGAGTTTCGTTCCCCTTCGTACTAAACATTACAATCCCGCGTGTTTTGTTGATCAGTATCGTTAATCAGTTTGTATGAATACCATCAACGCCAACTCGGCTTTTCACACAACTTAACCCATTGTGAGCCAAGAGCATGGGCCCTTTGTTTCTTCCAGAAGCCATCCTCCTACAGTCCATGGGAGAAATAACCTAGGCTGATGCATGCTATGTTAAAACTGAATCAATATGAGGGAAGCCTAACCGACTCCCATGTTTTCACATTGTCAGGTTTTACAGTTCCAGGACAAACTCACATGCAGTGGTTGATTTAAAATCATTTGATGAGTGGTTCATAATAATCCTATATTTTGTGTTTTTCGTCACTAAAGTATTTTCTACTTGCTCACAACCCTTTCTATCTGATAACATGGTTTGGCAGAGGGGGAATGTATTATCCTAACAGTTTGTATGTTGTATAAATAGAAAATAAGTTCTGCAGAAAATGTCTAACCTCCAGATCAAAACCAGTTTACTTGCAAGATTTTAAGATGGAAAAAAAAATGTTTAGTAGATTAAAAAGAATCTTTTGTTGCTCCACGAAAACAACACATCATTTCACAGTCATGCTGTAAACACAACATGCAAACCAGTTTATCAACAGGGGGCAGCATCATGCAATTGCAGGTCAGTTCATATGAACCAAAAGACCTTTTGCTCCCTACTTCTCTGCCCGGTATGAATGACAGTACCAAACAAATACTATAATGATGGCTACTGGCTGGAAGATGACAGTCACCAATTATCTTTCACTAAATCCAGATGCATTCATGTAGTCTGAATCCAGTGAGGCAGCTGTGGTTATGTTCAGAGAGCAACTAAACAATTGCACAACTAAACAATTTGGTCAGTTTGGGGGATTTTTTTACATTTATTTTTTTCATTTAGCCAAATAAAGCACATTACTTAGATGTTGGTTTATGAATGACCTGTGGAACAAATGTGACAATATATATGGCAAATGTTATTCTGAAAATGTTATTTATGTTGTATCATTTTTTATCAATTTACCAAAGTTGTCATTATTATTATTGGTAGTAGTAGTGTTGTTATGTTTAAAGGTAGTTTAATTAAGCCATTTATTCAAGCTTTCAATTGGCCAATGCTGTGTAGAATTCATATTGGAAATAATAATGAACTTTGAAGAAGGCAATTGTCTGAGTGGTACATAAAATACAGACATTAACATTATAACAGCGGTATTACTTTCCAAGAGAACAGTGGTTCCCAAAAGCATTTCCTTGTGTTTTTTTCCTGCTTGTTTTACTTTAACCACAAAAAGAATTTTTGTTCTTTTAACCCCAAAAATTCAAATGGCGTCACCTGCAGAGAGGTAAAGACAGAAGTATATGAAAGACCAAACCAATGGGTAACCATGAGGTAACTCACTGATGCGTGAACACCCGTTTTGAAGCTTTGACATTAACATTTCAGCCATTACGACCATCATGGATTTTTGAAGCCTCAAATGAGGGTCGAATGCTAAGTTGTGTGTATGAATACTGCATGGGTGCATCATCCATACAGAGATACCTGCCACAGTAGTTGTAACATCTATTGTAACATATGAAAGAAAACAATGCAGAACTCCTTTCACAAATACTGGAGCGCAGTTTTTGGATAGGCTCTTACTACAGTTTACCAAACAGCAGTTCATATTGTTTGTTAGATAATTGCATTAAAATGCTCCACAAGGCACACATGGCAACAGAGTAAAATGTTTGATTCAGTGATTTGAAGTGTACAGGGTGAAGTGTAAAGGACATCTATTGGTCTAGTCTGGACATATCTGTCACTCAAACTAGGCATGCTCCTAATAATCAATTCTTGTTCCAGTCTGTGTTGATGTTTTCTATGAAGTTGGGAATATAGAAAATGGGATTCTGTGGGGACTGATTCATTTTGTGAGCCAACTTCAATGAGCCATTTGAGAAACATCTTGGTCAGTGTGCACTGGCTTAATTTTTCAGCCCTGGACCTTTGAAGTTAAGTTGGTTTTGTTTTTCTGAGCATTGCTGGTTCTGTGTTTTCATGTTTATTCAAGTCATATTGAGTTTTCATTTTAGCTGTAATATCAAAACATCTCAGTTATTACAAATCTACAGACCTCTAACAATGCTGCAAGTATGTTTTGCAAAACACAAACACACTTTAAAAGGTGTGACACAGCACCAGTAGTTTCTTATCATACTATTTGTGTGTATTTGGAAAGCTCACCGCATGTGTAAGCTGGTAGTTGGAGTTTTTCTTGCTATTTTTGTTGTGAGAGACTTGCTATGACTCTGTAGGAATTCTGCCAAATAGCAGCACATTATGTTTCCTTTCCATCAGTAACATAAATTATCTAGATCTTACTCTTGAGGTAAAATCCAGAGTAAATATGAGGCAGCTGTCCTAAACAGTCCACTCACTGCGGGCCTCTGATCCTGTGATGAAGTGGGCAGCTCAGGAATGTGGAAGCAGCCCTCTTGAAACAACGATAACACGAATCACTGGTGTTCTAATTAAAACTTCCAGGGGGAGGCTGCAGGAACTCACTGACTTGGAAGGTTCACATCTATTTTTAAGGGATATAATAAGAATGCACTACCTAAGGAGACAGGCGTGTTAGGAGCAGAGAAAAGGCACAGTTCAATGAGCTGCAGTATTTTAGAGGCCATTTTTTCACTGTTCTATGTGTTCAGCAACTTCAGTTGAAATAGTATCGACTCCTCATTGAATTTTCAGTCCCGAGCTCCCATTCAGCTGGAGCTGGATATGAATTTTATCATGAAGCATTAATAATGCATTTAATTGCCAATTCTTTTTTTACAAGTCGGGGCAGACTGTGTAAGCAGATTCCTGTGTTGCTGCAGTGTAACTGAAATATTCATGGGCGCATTATTCCTTAATTTTGTTGTGACTAAGAGGGATTAATACTCATCCATTAAGTAAAGCTAATTCTATGGGCGCCTCAAGGTTGCTTGAGTGTATTGGAGAAGCAAGTGAGATTAGCAGTGGAATGATGCATCACTTCAGCAGGGTGGCTACGGCTGTAAATTGATTTAGGAATCACACTGACTAAGTGATTGTTGTGTAAGAGTTTTTTTGCTTGACAGGGAGAAACACATGGATCATCAGGAAAAGCGGGGGCTGTCTGAGGAAGGCACTTTGTTTTAATGATCAGATCATATTTCCTGCACAGGCTCATTAGCAATATGAGGCTCAGTCTGTCAGTTTTTTTACTTTTTCATTTATTTTTACTTCGTGTGTGTGTGTGTGTGTGTGTGTTCACTTTGAGTATGTAATCCAGCTCAAACAAGCATTTTGCTGAATTTGGGGAACGTGATCATGTCTGATTCATAGGACATTAAAGTGCATATCTTCCACCGATGATTAATGCTTCATAATTATAATCCTCAACATTCTGTGCTATAATCCAGCCTTTTATTTTAGCAAACAGAACAAGATTGGTCACATTTGGAGCGCAGTTCATATTTGCCACGATGAATGAATGATTGATGACATTGTGGAATGCCTTAAAAAAATAAAACTCTCGCCTTTTTTTTCCCCTGTTGCATTTGCTCATACAGCCAGTAATAATTTAAATGTGTCACTGGGGCGTATTTTGAATCTGATACGATGTCTAAAACATTGTAAGATAAATCACAGAACACATATTTCTGTGAACTGTGGCTGTCTGTTAATGCGTTGCTGTCTGATGTTTGCCGTTGTTTTGTTTTTGTTTTTTGTTTTTTTGAAGAAAGTTTCCGCAGTGGCCTTGAAAAGTGAATACAGAGGGGGAGGATTACATGAAGCATTCACACGAGGAAAGCTTCCGGCATATTCCTACTCCACTGCTAGGAGCAGCTGCTGCTATAGATAAATCATTGCAATGCCTTGCTCGAAGATACTTAAGACGCAGATATTCCCTCCAGCTCTATTTAAAGTGATAATCCAGGCCTCTGCACAACCAAAAAGTCTCAGTAATACTCTTGTAAAAATGTTCGTCTAGTCTTCATGTTTAGGGAGCAAGATATTGATCACTGAAACAATACATAATAGGTTTGCAGGAATTGCTGAAAAATCCAGTTTGCCATATTGATTGCTGTAATGAAGATAAATGCTGAATCACTCAGTATGAAAATGGCTTGTGCACTTGCAATATGCATTCTTTTTGTTGTTGTTGTTGTACCAAAAACACCCTGTTTGCCTTAGACCCACAGATTACCATGTGTTTTCATTCACAGCCATTAGAGCTTTGTTTGTGATTATGCAAATGAGAAAACATGCAGGAAATTTAATCAGTGCGCAAATTTGATTTCATATGAAAGATTGCTGGAGGGTAGGGGGCTCGATCGTATAATACCGAGCAGCAAAATTATGCTCAATATTTGTTTTCACAGTGGGCCTCCACTCGGACACGCCATACCTTTATAGGCTTAAGGTTTGTCTTGGTTCAGAGGCTTGAAGTTAACAGCCCCGTGTAAGGTTTGATTATCCTTTGTTCTCCCCAGAGATGCTGAATGAAAACTGCAGTTAATGGGAAGCATTTCCATATCGGCAAAGCACAGCAGCTTGTGTTTTTGCATTTTTATTATTGTTGCGTCTCGTGAACCAAATATCTAAGTGCTCGGGTTTCTTTTGTTCCCCTGCTGAACAGCAAGAAAATGGGCTTCTTA